TTAAAGAAGTGAACGGAAACATCGAAGTTATGATCGGAGAGACCGGTTGGCCCTCAGAGGGTATCAGCTTTAATGCCTCGCCTAATAATGCAAAGAATTTACGGGACTATTGGAGCCAAATGGGCGAGTGGGCCAATAGGAACAAGGTTAGGGTCCATATGTTTGAGGCCATTGACGAGCCCTGGAAGTCGAGTAAAACATCGGTAGATATGACTTCTCCGAGCGGTCCAAACGGTGCTGAGGGTCACTATGGCTGGTGGCAAAGGGTTGACACTTCCGGCAAACCTAACTATGTTGAAAAATAACTGTTAAAAATTGCTTATTGTCATTGATGTAATATTCTATCTAATGCAAGCCTACTCTTGGTTATTTTTCTGGAAATTTTTTATTTGTAATACAATTATTATTTACTATTAAAGCAATTTATTAATAAAAACCATATTTCTTCCTAAAACACATTTTAGTGGCCAACCAATAAATTTTAAATAAATGATTAATAATAATAAAAGCATTAAAAACAGATAAAATTGACAATTTATTATAATAAATCAATAGTATAAATAAAATAATATCTTGTATTTGAGTTTTTTAATCCAAAATTTATCTCAAAATTTATGAAAACATTTTAAATAACATTTTTCTGTTGAATTACAATAACAGTAATTGTAAAATAAAAGTTTGTTAACCATTAGTCCATAACAACAGGTGACGGTATGCTTCGTATGAACATTGCTTTCATATACCTGTATAAATATTTACGATAATTACAGGTATTTGTAAAATATCGTAAAAGTTTTGATGCATTTCGTATAATGTTATGATTGCTATCTCATTATGCGTGAAAAATAGTCACTATTAACTAATAATGTTATTATTATAATCAATATTTAAATAAACAAATAATAATAAAAGCATTAAAAACAGATAAAATTGACAATTTATTATAATAAATCAATAGTATAAATAAAATAATATCTTGTATTTGAGTTTTTTAATCCAAAATTTATCTCAAAATTTATGAAAACATCTCTTCGCGACACACTTTCAGTTCGCTTCTCAATTGAAAATTCAAATCCTCGATGACTGACAAGTTTTGGGTTAAGTTTTTAATGAGCTCTTCATTTGTGAACATTTGATTTGTGGATAAGATGTCGTCCGCTTGAAAACTATTTTGACTATTCTTTTCAAATACAGACGTTTGCCTTTTGATCCAACTCTCGTCCATCGATACCGTTCGGGGAGGGATCGGAGGCGGCACTGAAGGCCTCTTGACTAGTGGTCTGAAGGGTTGGTTGTCATCGTTTCCGACGGGCGCTGAATGGGGTTCATTGAGCGCAACCCCTGAGGCCTCGCAGTAAAACACAGCTCCGGGTGTGGAGTGTTTGCGCCGACGTCTGGGAGGCGGTCGCGGCGGCGGCGGTGGAGGTATACTCGGCGGTAATGTCTCCGTAAACTCCAGGGTAGAGGAATCGGAATCACTTATCATTGAATTGGTTTGACTGCTGGTATCCAACGATGAGTCCATCATTTTGTCCAAATGTGAAGTACTTCTCCTAAAAGAAGTTCGCGACAATCGCTTCATAAACCTATCCATTGATGCGTTCAACAGATGTATAAATAGACAAATATGTTAAGATTAATCAAAGGATATCTATTCATGCGTTAATTAAAGTAACAAAAGTTAAATTCAATGACAAAATAATAAGTAAAAGTGAACAACAAAATGAAGTTCATATAAAATTCATAGCATTAAAGTCTATGCCATAGAGTTTAGAGACTTTATGTGTCTTATCAGAGAAATAAAACAGTGAAGAGTGAAGTCAAACATTAGGAACATTTACCATAAGTTTTCTCTCAACACATCAGAGCAAACAATTATTATCTTAATATTCGAGGCAACAAATTGATAACAAGATATATTTGATCAGCACTTGTTTGTACACTAAAACGGCACTATTCCTAACGACATTCACTATTATGTCATTTGATATTTCAGATACATTTTATTCCCTGATATAATGTACACGTTTGTAGTGTATTATCATTTTTATTAATTTTCATATACAAAATGTAGGCTAAAATGCTAAACAAGATCTAACTGTAACACCAGTTCCTGTAACTACAACTCAATCCATACAATTGTCAGTAAATTTGAATACATAACATATACACACATAAAAAAACTGCAAATTTATCATTTGAAAACCTTTTTATTAATATTTCACATAAAAGTAGTCTAACATAACATAACAATTATATTTCGTTACGTTTGAAATGTTTTTCTCAAATCTGAGACAATTGTCGAGTTTCACGCTTTCATTCAATGACAAGAGAAAAATACTATTGAATTGAAATTATTTTTAAAAAAAATATTCATTAACATATGATGTGATAAATAAAATAATGTTAGAAAATTAATTAATTTAAATAAAAATTGGATGATAATTGTGTTGACCATCTTTTAATGGCTTATGACAAGTGGGACAGTATTTTGAGGGACGGCTGGAGTTCATGAAACTCTGGGCACAGGAAGAGCAGAATAGATGACCGCATAGTGTGGACACAATCTGTCGTTTGGTGTTCACTATTTTAATCTTATTGTCCAGACATACAGAGCAGTGCCACTCGTCAGCCATCGTCTCGATTTGATTTAATCGGTTTTTATATAAGTTTAGCTCAACTTTTGTTGAACTCAATTCTGTCTCGAGGGCCGACTTCTCGTCACTCAACTCACTATAACTTTGTGTTAATATTTCATTCTTTCGCTCCAATACTTGCAAATGAGTGATCATTTTTTCAATCAACTCTTTGACACTGATTTGATTGTTCTTCGGCTCTTCAGACACCGGCGACAGCGGTTCCGCACACTCTTCATCGCTGCCACTGCTGTGGGTACTGCTGGTAGTCCTCAGAGATGTGGTCATTGATACCACAGAGTTTCGTTTGGAGACCATTAGATGATGACTAGTGTGTCGGTCATCCATATGGTTGAGCGCCGACGTCGACACCGATCGCTGTTTTGTTAAGTTTGTGTCCACTTTTAAATCATTAGTGGATTTGTGAAAATTTCGTCTAAACTTTTTGAATTTGCCCTCTTTTTTGATGTGTTGGGGAGAACTCGGCGCTGAATTGCGGAATATATTCATCAATTGACTCATTGTTGGGCTCTTTCACAACCGGTGCTCAAATGTTCACCAGATATACTGTATATTAACAGATATTAACTGTTGGGATACAACACAGTCTGTGCACACAATAAGGTCTTATGTAAATGTCTTATACCATAAATACTCTCTTCAACTCAATTACTGATTGCAATAAAATAGCGGATAAGAGACATAAAGAGAAGATAGCCGTTGAATAACAATCGGTTTATTAAAACAATATTTCACACAATAGTTGTAAATTTTGACTCAACTCTCTTATCGACACAAAATTTGGTTGCAATTACATTAAACACATGGTTTTGCATTAAAAAGTACACGAGTAAATGCAATATTGCATTGATATAGTGAACACGTATATCATTAAAATTAATATTAAGTTAGTTTAATGAGTGATGGCATAGGAAAAGGTATTGATCGACTGGTTTGTGTGCAAATATGATACTAATATAGAGTAATAGGCAAATGTGTAGCTCTGCTATTGTGTCGATAATGTCTTGTGAAATGAAGGTTAGATTGCTTTATACCGGTATATCTAAATCTGAATATAACTTAAACATTATCTGAATATCTATTTTTATTTGCCTGTTATGACAATTACCACTACTTTTCGATGTATTAGTTGTTGAAAAGCTTGCAAATCAACTCTAATGGACTGTAAACGGGCTTCGCTTCCAATAGTAGTTTCTTATAATCACTTCACACACAATACATCACTATTTATATTATTATCATATATTATATTAACATAAACTTCTTAAACATGAACTAGAATTTGATGATCAGTTCGTGTAAAGAAATGTAAGACAATGTCTGACACATTGAACTAAATTTCACTTTACATTCACTAGAAATCGTTTTCACCATTCAATCAATTAATCCTAACTTTAAATCCAATGCATTAACAGTGCATTGAGTGCTAAAATACTTTTGCAATTTTAGTGCAAACAAATACTGCAAAGACTGTTGTCTACCATATATTTATTTGTTTATTTATAACATTAGTGCAAACAATAAGATTTAAATTGAAAATCTAACGACAATACATATAACACAAAGTTCATCACAATTGCCATTCAAACACTTGGATTATAAGCTATTTGTATACTAACCGCTCTCTCACAAGACACTTATCACATCAAATTCATCCATTTTTTATACACAAATGCGTTAAACGTTAGAATATTTTTAATTTTATTAGTTTTTGTTAATATAAGCAAAAAATAGGCATATTATAGCCAATCAATGATTTTGTTTTCATAGAATATTCGCTACAATAATAAATAAATTAATTATTGCAGAAAAATAAAAGTCATTATCAGGTAATTAATGTTTGGCAAAAAAGCAATCGTAGCTATGATTCACTATAATATTAAGGAAACGATTAGACAATTTGGATAATAAGATAATTGCTATGGATTTTGCAGACAATATAATTACTAATGTTAGTGTCGCTTAGATTCCTTGCAATCCTATTGTTTGGTGACTTATTTGAAAGTGATTTCCACTGAATTATTACCCGTTATATATTAATACTGTTTGAAAATATGATTGTTTGGTTGATTGGCATTCACTTTGAACTTTCAATGTTTTCTTAGAGTGAGTTTCAAGTGTTTTCAGTTCAATCTTATTGATTACCGCTTTTGATCCTAAGACACATTTTTACCAAACAATGAAATCTTTGCAATAAATATACAAATATTTGTAAAATTATACATTTTATTATACAATAATTAAATAAAATGAACACATAGTTCTTATGCACAATGAGTACAAGTATATTAAGTGTTAAACAATGTAATTATTCCTAAGTTGTCGTCCAAAATGCCAGACCAAAAAAATACCCAATAGTTTGATTACAGAGTTAGCGATCGCTATTCCGGCCATTAATACCACAGACTTTCTGATGTCTTTAAGTTTGGCATTTAGTGCAGAAAAGCATGAGTTCTGAAAAATGATTGACAATTAATGTAAATTTAAAAATATATAATTGTATGAATAAAACTACTGTTGTATTCGCCAATTGTTCGGTACAATTGTGTTGTGAGGGCTGAAGATCTAAATGACAACAACACGAGTTTGGATACCACTCGACTTTCTTAGGTCTTAATTGTTGCCAACTCTTGTAGGAATCAGTTCCGCAACAATTATATTTGCATTGAATTGAGTCCACAATTGAATTGATAGTCTCATTGTCCTCCACATCGCTTTCAGACCATTTATACTTTTCTGTCAGATCTTTAAATTTGTCATCAATTATGTGATCTTTTATCTGATTTTAATAAAAATTAATCCATTAGTAGAATATTATAACAACTTTAATAACTAAACTTTACTTACCTTTGAGTTATAGTAAAAACTATTATAAATAGAAAAAAATTCAATGACTACAAGAAATTTGAGAAGAAGACAAAACTATTTGATTGAATAAATGAAATGATTAGACAATAAATTAAATTTCATAATACAATATTAAGATAATTTAAATTACCAAAACCAGGATTAGTTTACTTTTGGTATAAGTGGCACAACAGCCTATGAATGCTATTAATATAATGACAAATGATAGCAATGTTAACGCAATGGATATTTTAATAGCACTTTTTTGACTCAATTCATCGATATATTCGTGCGAATCCTTTGAGACACCATTTGATACCATCAGTAGTGTTATTGCGAACACCTTTTATAATGAATATAAATTATATTTAATTGCATAAGTAATAAGACAAACAAATATTAAAAACAATACAACTATTAATAACAGACCACAAGTAGGAGAAAAAATAAGTATAAAACAAGATATTTGAGATAAGAGTCGTCCCATTTTACTCTTTTGCGATACTTTCGCCACATATTTCTCTTTGATCGCGAATTATGTCTTTTAAATGAGTTTTGATTAGTTTCCATCGTGTAATCCAAATGTTAACATTTCATAAATGTTTATTTAAATATTGATTATAATAATAACATTATTAGTTAATAGTGACTATTTTTCACGCATAATGAGATAGCAATCATAACATTATACGAAATGCATCAAAACTTTTACAATATTTTACAAATACCTGTAATTATCGTAAATATTTATATATGAAAGCAATGTTCATACGAAGCATACCGTCACCTGTTGTTATGGACTAATGGTTAACAAACTTTTATTTTACAATTACTTTTATTGTAATTCAATAGAAAAATGTTATTTAAAATGTTTTCACAAATATTGAGATAAATTTTGGATAAAAACTCAAATACAAGATATTGTTTTATTTATACTATTGATTTATTATAATAAATTGTTAATTTTATCTGTTTTTAATGCTTTTAATATTATTAATCATTTATTTAAAATTTATTGGTTGGCCACTAAAATGTGTTTTAAGAAGAAATATGGTTTTTATTAATAAATTGCTTTAATAGTAAATAATAATTGTATTACAAATAAAAAATTTCCAGAAAAATAACCAAGAGTAGGCTTGCATTAGATATAATATTAAATCAATGACAATAAGCAATTTTTAACAGTTATTTTTCAACATAGTTAGGTTTGCCGGGAGTGTCGACCCTTTGCCACCAGCCATAGTGACCCTCAGCACCGTTTGGACCGCTCGGAGAAGTCATATCTACAGATGTTTTACTCGACTTCCAGGGCTCGTCAATGGCCTCAAACATATGGACCGTAACCTTGTTCTTATTGGCCCATTCGCCCATTTGGCTCCAATAGTCCCGTAAATTCTTTGCATTATTAGGCGAGGCATTAAAGCTGATACCCTCTGAGGGCCAACCGGTCTCTCCGATCATAACTTCGATGTTTCCGTTCACTTCTTTAAACTTTTGCCGATAGCCGAGGAAAGCATTGCCGACCGCTTCCACCGATTTTGCTGCACCCGATTTGACTACATTATTGTCTGGATATACGTTACACATAATAAAGTCAGACTCTCTGACAATATTAGCGAGAATGTCACGCATTGAGCCCGAGTTATGTATAATACCGCAAACGTGTATTCTTGTGCCCACTTTAAGGCCCATATCATGAGCTCTCTTCTTATTACTGGTAATCATATTGAGTATACGATTACCCGTCGCCTCATTCGTGAAATACTCATTAGTGAACGTTAGGCCCCAAACAGTCTTCCCGTGTATACCGTTTG